TAACTATAGGAAACGGTTTTATAGGGGGATCTACTGTATATGCCTATATAGTTGTCATGATTTATAATGACATTTTCTGTGAATATTAATTATTTCTCACTTATCACTTGGTTATTGAGTTTTTTTCTTTGCAATGAGACTCTTCATTGTAAAATTTAATTTTGAATCAGCAACCACGTTTATTTTACTTTAAACAAATGCTATAAAAGACTGAATTATATTGGTTGAAATTTTTAGTATGTCCAATAAATAGTTGCACAATCATCATCATAATTTCACATTTATATTCAAATTTTTATTAAATGTTTGTTATGATAAGTTATTATAAACTTACATAGTATATATTCAGTTTATGTTTAACTTACTGAAATAGTTGCAACAAACACAGAAATTTTCCTTCAGTTAAATATTTCTGTAAATGGATAATGATAATTGTACAAATATTTGATGTGTATTTATCACTATTATTGTTGTTTATACATTAATTCTTAAATGATACCGACACACATTTATTTTTCTGTTTTTAAAAAATTGTATCAAATTTGTATAAATATGCAACTTTTTCTTTATATAGTTGACTATTATTATTTACAAAATAGTTATGATAAATAAATAAATAACCAGTTGTTCAGAAGCTATAATATTTAAAATAGCTTTTTTTTTTATTAACTTTTTATATATTAAAATATTTCACATTATTTTTAACATTATTGTTTTTTGTTTTAAAGTCTAAAATGCAATCTATGAAAACTAAATCACAAATTATGTGTAAGCAACTATATTTGGCATAATAAGAAAAAACTAATGGTTTTAAAAATTAATTATATAATTATCTCAAAAATTAATAATTTTATTAATTAAACTAAGTTAAACATAAAAGAAAATAAATCTTATATTTTTCTGGATTTTTAAAATACTTTATAATCATCTCTTTGTGTTACAGTTATTAAAGAAACTCAATAATTTAACTATGGATGCATATTTCTAACATTTTATAGAAAATCTTTAAAAAAATTTTCTAATTTTTATCTTCATATAACAAACACACAAAAAATGCTGTCAAAATACAAATCAATCAGACATGAATTCAGTACATAAAGAGAGGAGGCAAATAGTTGCTTCTGCATATTTCACATAAGAATTTGAATTCATATTGATGTGCAATTATATTTTCCATCATTCCAATGAATCATTTCATATTTCTAACAGATGCTAGCTTCATTTTTAATTATTATTTTCATCTTAATAAATATTAGAACGTCTTGATACAATTTATAATTTTGCACAACATTGTTTTAACTGCAACAAACATCAATAGAAATACAGATATGATCTGTAGTATCATTCTAAATTGGCACACTTTTTCAACAAATAAACAAGTTGGAAGTATGAACATTCGTGTTCATAACTGTGATGATTGAAAAGAGCCATCACAGAATATTGGTCATTTATGAACTGAAATATGTTCATATTCGAATATTCATATTGATAATATATACACACACACACATTATATATATATATATATACATANAGGTTTTCTTCGTGGTCATAATTATGTCGCATTGTATTCTTATGTTTGAGATTCTTGTATAATTGCTGAAACCCTCCAGAGGAACGTTTAAATGGTTTTTTAACTACCAGTGAACTAAAGGCAGCCGTTGTGACAATAATTAAGAATGTTCAAGAATCATATTTTACTGAGGCAATGTCTTGTTTAAGATTAGGAAAGGAGTTAATATAGAATAGTTAGAATAATTCAATTGGTCTCCTTTTTTTTTTGGATGTTAAAAGTGTTATCCGTGTGGGAGGTCAGATAACACTTTTAAGATAAAGAATGCCAATATTCCTGAAACTTGACAACATCCAGTCTTGCTTCCCTCTAAGAGTCATATCACAAATCTTATCATAACTTACTATCACCACATTCACCTACATGCTAGCCAAGAGTTGCTCTTGAGTGTTCTTAGAATGCAGTTTTGGATATTGTCCAGAAGTGTAGTTCGTAATATTATACATAGGTGTATCACATATCACCTGTGTAAGAACCAAGGGAAGAACTGCCTCTCAGCTGATGGGTGATTTACCAGCCCCTAGAGTTCAACCCAGTAGGCCTTTCACTGTTACTAGATTAGATTATGCTGGTCCTTATTTGTTTAAATTACAAGGTGGAAGAGGTGTTAGGTCTTCAAAGTGCTATGTTGCTATATTTGTATGTTTTTCCACAAAGGCTGTCCACTTTGAGTTGGTCAGTGACCTGTCTACACCAAGATTTATTGCTGCACTGAAGAGATTTATTGCACATCATGGAAAACCAGTTAAAATTATGAGTGACTGTGCCTCCAACTTCAAAAAGGCCAGTAAAGAACTAAAGGAAGTTTATAAAAAATGTGTCACTTATAGACAAGAGTAGTGAATTGGCTCATTTCACCACCGGTGAGGACATAACGTGGATTTTTAATCCACCAGCTGCACCTCATTTTGGAGGAATTTGGGAATTTGCCGTAAAATCTAAGAAGTTCCATTTAAGGAGAGTTATAGGATCTACATTGTTAACATACAGTTTGTAATGTTGTTAACACAGGTAGAAGCATGCTTAAACTCATGCCCATTTGTCAAATGTCAAGTGATCCCAATGATTTGCAGGTAGGGTTTCTCATTTCCTGGTCTTTTGCTTGTCCCGGGATTCTGGGATAAAAGTGAACTGATTCCCAGGATAGAATTAATTATTTTTAAGATATACAAAATACCTTGAAATCAAATGATATAATTATTTTTCATTTTTTAAAGTAATTTAATACGTTCTACAATCTCCAAAATCATATTAATAATGTTGTGTAAGATGTGTATTAAAAATTACCTAAATAACAACTCAAAGCCCGAATAGTATATAATAAATTACCAAATGATCGCCTAAATATCGGGCTATAATTAAATGATTGGAATAAAGTAATTTGGCATTAGAGGTAGGCGTTAGGCACCATCTCTTAAGAAAATTAATAATTAAAATTAAATAAATTTTAGAACCTTCTGGAATAAAAGAACTGGCCCGGGACGGGGCTTGAACCCTCAACCTCCGCTTGCCATGCGGTGCGCTTGCCAGTTACGCCACCTGAACCCCGAGCGAAGACTCGCTCGGGGATCCAGGTGGCATAACCTTTTAATTATTAATTTTCTTAAGAGATGGCGCCTAACGCCTACCTCTAATGCCAAATTACTTTATTCCAATCATTTAATTATAGCCCGATATTTAGGCGATCGTTTGGTAATTTATCATATTTATAACGTTTTGTTTTTCGTTTTTAATTATTAATTTACTTAAGAGATGGCACCTAACGCCTACCTCTAATGTCAAATTACTTTATTCCATTCATTTAATTATAGCCCGATATTTAGGCGATCGTTTGGTAATTTATCATTATACTCTTTTATTAATTTATATCATTTGGTTGCTTTACTATCCAAAATCAATTATGAAAACAAGAATAAGTGAAAGACAGACTAAATATAATATTCTTAAAAATTATTAATGATAAAATGAATAAATTATTACATAAATGGTTTTCATTCTTTGCCTAATGATTTAAACAATTATTTTCACAGCACATTTTTCTCTATGTTGAATTCAAAATTATAAATTTACAAAATCATTCTAAATGATTTTGTAAATTTTAAGTTATGTAATCATTTATCTAAATTTTTTTAATTCTCTTTACTTTACTATCACCTTATATTTATTTATTTTCGTAATTATTTTTCTCATTATTCTTTGATATTAATCAAATTATCTCTATACTTAAATCTTTCAGTAGAAAACCATCCAAAAGATCAAAATCAAACTTCTAGAATCAAGTTGCTTTCTGAGTTTATTATTTACTGCATGTGAAGGAATTGATTTATGTCAGTTTTACTCTAACATAAATTTAACATTTAAATTTATATTATGTTAAATTTATGTTAGAGTAAAACTGACATAAATCATTTTAAAAGTAATAATTAAATCAAGAATACTAAATTAATTACAGAAATTAAGAGTTTATAGAACACATTATAAAATATATATGTACAGTAAGACCCCACTTAACACTGATTCAATATAACAGTCTGCTTGAAGCCTAAAAAAACACTCCAAATTTACACCGATTCAAATTATTGCAACA